ATCTTCACTGGCTTTAGTGGTTGATGCATAAATTTGAGTAATAATGGTATTAACTGAGTTTCCCTGTAGGCGCATGGATATTATCCTATCACTTACAGCATTGTACCTCATGACTGATCTAGATATGTTCTTTTTGATGATGAATGCAACACTATTCCTTTTCAATTTGTCATTCCCTGCATAGTAAACCATGTGGTTGTTAGATTCAAAATGGCCAATACCAGTCCATTTCAGCTCATTAATGCTTAAGATATCGATGTTTATGCATTCCATTTCATTTTTGACAACTTCCAATTTTCCCAGATTCATACTTCGCACATGCCATGTTCTGATTTTCAATCGATGTTTACAGCTGTTTCTCTTCATCTTGAGTTGTGGCCCATCAGCAAATGAAGGTTCAGTGTGCTTTTCTCTCACAAGCTTAACTCTATTCACGTCATTCTGGTCATCTCTACTTTGAGGAGGCATTTTTTCCCCAGTCGCATTCTGAGTACCTTCCCACCTTTCAGTCCTGTATCTGACAATGATTCTCTGCTATTCATAGAGTTTTCAGTGACTAGCAATTTGGAAATAGTTTGTCACTCTTTCTTTCTAGTCTGTCTTTGTCTGGAAGCTCATCTGAAACCTGCCCACCACCATGGGTGACCCTACCAGTTATTTAAAATACTGGTGGCATAGCCCTCAGAATCACAGCAACTCAAGCCACCACAGCATAACAGACAGACAAGTGGTGACCGTTTGGTTTTATGTTGATGTTGTTGTTGTTGTTATGTGCTGTGGAGTCGGTTCCAATTCATAGCAACCCTGTACAGGGTTTCCAAGGCTATAAATCTTTATGGGAGCAGAAAGCCTCCTCTTTCTCCTGCGGAACAGCTGGTAGTTTCGAACTGCTGACCTTGTGGTTCACAGACTGATTCATAACCACTATGCAACCAGAGCTCTGTCACTTTAAATTTCGATGTCAATTCTGATACAATCAAGATGTTCTCTCCTGATACTATCAATTCTAATACAATCAAGATGTTCTCTCCCAAGATGGCGGCTCCTGGAACAGCTGAGTGTCTTGATCCAGAATACAATGGATTTCTGGATTCCCTTCAAATTCCCTAGCTGTAAACCCTCCAATCCTCCAAACATAGCTTTATATTTGTTTCAGAGTTCCAACACTATCTCGTGAGCCCTCTTGGCCTGGTGTTCCGTGTTGTTGTTGACCGAGCTCTGACGGAATTTAGGATTTAATGTTCGGCTTATTTCCATTTTTGTCTGCTTGTTCTGCCCCACAATCCCCGTTCAGGCCCTTTTTCTAATGGTAAACAGTTCAGGGCCGGCTGTGGCCATTTGGTTTTAATAGGAAACTGTTTCTTTAAATTTCGAGGAGATCTGTGGTCATGCATAGTAGAACCCTCTGAGGGTGAGGCTGGGGTGCCCACTTGCTCAGGCACCCCTATAGTCACCAGAATGGAGGTGCGCAGACAGCAAGGGACCAATGAACAGATACCAAAAGAGAAGAATGCCCACACCTTTATCTCAGTGGTTCTGCCAGGCATCTGTGTCTGCTATCACTGGATGGCATAGGTTGCATTAAAAGATGCAAAATGGAGTTAGAATGAGGAGAGGTTTACTCTCAGAAGTCTTAGTTATGTTAAAAATACTCTTTCTCAAAACAAATTTGAATATTATAAATGACAGAAACACATTCTTTAAAATGTTTTATTATGTCATTAAGGAAATTATTTTGATATATTCACACATTATAAGAATAATTACATTACATAAAGAAGTCAAACAGTACTTCTAGCATAAATATGTTTTTCATGAATAACAATTGAAAAGTGCTAAAGGCAAGTGTGCCCCAAGATAAATATTTAATCTTAGATGGTGAGACTATAGATAAATGTGTCTTTTGTTTCATTGATTAATTTTTTGAATAAACAAAAACATTTATCACGTTGACTATATATTAAATATGTTAAAACAAATGAAAGAACTTAGGATAAACTATAACTTAAACATACTTAGAATTAGGGAAGTTCTTAGGTTCAAGGAATTGTTGAAAAAGTCTATTACCATCTTTTATAGGAAGTACTGTTCTCTCTCATCATCCTTCTTTTTAATAAGGAAATAAATCAACTGTGATTACTTCATTTTCTTTCTCCCCTTGCCACTCTTAAGCTTTATTGTTGACATGTTATTTCTAATTCCTTACAATCACTTGCCTTCTGGAAGTTCTTTAGACCTATATAGGATGGATAACAGTAAACATAAGAAAAGACAACTATTCTTACTGTTTCCCTTTCTTGAAAAAGCATAAAATAAAGTTTTGTAATTAGCTCAAACATTGAATGGAGTCCCATTCCATGCACCCTCCCCCCTTCAGTGTCCGGTTTACTGTCACACATATGATAAATTCCAATATTTGATGTTCAGAAAGACATTAAAGCTTTATTTGACTAAAAAATGGTCCCTCATTTGGCCATGTTTCTGTAAAGTTAAGACATGAATCAGGTCCTGTAAGAATTGAAGAGCAGGTTAGTCCTGAAAAATGGCAACTGATCCTCTGATTAGAACATGACTGTTTGCAATTGGGAATAAATAATATCTCTTATTACTTGCCAGAAGCTGATGAAATCCTGGTCAACAGGGAACATTATGGACAAAACACAAATTCTTAGAGCTGGACCAACAAAGAACAACTGCCCTTGCACCACTCACATTCAACTGTTGCTTCTTAATTCTGAGTAAGTGAGTTTGTATTATGTGTCAAGGGCAAGTAGAGGTGATATTATATATAGTGAAGTAAAAACACAGATAGAGCTAAAGAAAGTAGACATTAGAAGGAAACAATCTAAATTCTAGAAATAGATATTATTGACATATTTTTTTAAATAGAGTTTGATTTGGAAGTTCTTGAACTGCAAATTTAGGAACAGATATCTTGGGAACTTTGCCTTGGAAGAGTCAGAGGTTTTTGAGTGAAAAAAAAAAAAGGAGAAAAGAATCACAATGACTTTGAATTTTTGTAGAGTTTTTTTTTTTTTGGTCTATGAAGGTATGTGAGGGGACTTAAAAAGTTTGTGGGGAAATTCCTTTGTTCTGTTTTTCCATTAATTTTTTGACGTCTCCTTGTACAATCAGAAAGTGGAAAGTTGTTATGAGAGGAAGCTCTAGCCCAACATATGTCATGCATTTCTGAAAGTGACTGTGAGTAGATATGTAAGCCTGGAAAACATGAAGATACCGATAGCCAATACCTAAAAATTACAATAAAGAATTTTATTTAGGCAGAGTGATTTAGATGGAAAACAAAACAAAACAAATCTCCCAAACTTGCAGCTTTAAAATCTCTGAGGACTTGAGATTTATGGCCATTCTTGGTAGTGAGAGAATAGCATGGTTTAATATTGTAACGGATGATTTGTGGAGAATTTTTAATAAATGCTGATGACAAGAACACACAAAAAATTCATCAATAAATTTGAAACAGACCTAGACAATGAAGAATTTATGTAATCTATCTTTTCTTACATTAAAAATATTCATTGATGCATATTCTTCTGAAAACTGCTAATGAACTTTAGTAATTTATTAATCTTTATATTCAATGAGATTTTTCTTTTGGAGTTTATCTCAGAGGAGAAGCACTCCTTATATATTTTGTGTCAGTTTTCCCAGAATCTACAAATTTAAAACTTTATTATTTTCTTCAGGATTAAGTAGATTTGATTCCTATAAAAAGATGATCTGCATTAAATCTGCCCCCAGATGGAGATCCAGACTTACAATATGGTTCACTTAGCTTTACCTCTAATAACATGTAGTCCTGTAACAATATCACCCTCATTGTTCTCCTCTTCTGCAAGAGGCATATTTGAGTTCATTCAACTTTAGTACCTAATATTTTAAGTCTACCCTTTTATGCTACATTTGTAGAAAAAAATGTATCTAAGGGGCTTGGATGTAAAGAACTTTACTGAATGTTTTATATATCAGACTTTGTTTCCTGACCTACTTTGCTGGTTGTTGGTTTGTTGTTAAGTTCTGTGAAGACAGTTTTGACTTATAACATAGTACAGCAAAATTATATAATTCTCATTGCCTATCCAAATGGGGTCTGGTTCTTGCAGCAATATCATAAATAAAAATTATTGATGAACAGAGTTAGTTTTAGAAGTAGAGTAATAGTTATAGAAAGAGGTATTCTATCAATTATATTATTTCAGTAATCTAACATATAGGGATACTCAATCTTGGTAGTCCTAAGCAGAGAGTGGAGAAAGAAAGAAGAGTAAATGGAACAGTGAGGCTAATGGAATTAGACAATTTAAAAATCAAGGTCTATGTTTGAAGTTTGATTTCCAAATAATATTTTTTCCCCTTGTTTCCACAAACAGATTAGAAACAGAAAGAGAAGGTGGAGTGGAAGAAAAAAGGGAACATCACTAAACATACTGAATCTATTGATTGTATCACAAAGATGGTGTCCAAATACTGTTTTTACACTGGGGACATCATTGAGGGTGGTTGGGTAGGCTTGCCAAAATCAGTGAAACTTTAAATAGTCTCCATAACCACACATTCTCTCTTTCATTAAAACACGGAGAAAATGATGACATTTATTTTTCTAATTCTTTTATCAAATAAATTTGTGACTGCTGTTGTTGTTGTTAAGTGCCATCGGGTCGGTTCTGACCCATAGCAACCCTGTACATTTGTGACTAGGTGAGAATAAAATATATAAGAGTACAGAGCAACATACATTGTCAAACTCAGTCCTTTGTTAAGAAGATCTGTGGGTTGTCATGCCTATTACCAATGGCACTGTGTTTATGCCCTCTATGCTGATACTTGTTGGAATCCCTGGTCTGGAACTTGTACAATGTTGGATTGGGATTCCATTCTGTATTATGTACATCATTGCTTTAATCGGAAATACTCTACTTTTAACCATCATCAAATCTGAGCGTAGTCTCCATGAGCCCATGTATATTTTCTTGGCCATGCTAGGAGCCACAGACATTGCACTTAGCACCAGCATTGTACCTAAAATGCTTGGAATTTTTTGGTTTCACTTGCCAGAGATCTATTTTGATGCTTGTCTCTTTCAGATGTGGCTCATCCACACATTTCAGGGCATTGAATCAGGAGTCTTGTTGGCCATGGCTCTGGACCGTTATGTGGCCATCTGTCATCCCCTGAGGCATGCTACCATATTCACTAACCAAGTAATCACTCATATTGGAGTTGGGATGGCATTGCGGCCTGCAATTCTAGTAATACCGTGCCTAGTGCTGATAAAGTGTCGTTTGAAACTATATAGAACCAAAACAATATCCCACACGTACTGTGAGCACATGGCTATTGTGAAGCTTGCCACTGAAGATATTTACATCAATAAGTTCTATGGTCTCTTTGGTGCTTTCATTGTTGGTGGGTTTGACTTCATTTCAATAACCCTCTCCTATATCCAGATATTTATCACTGTGTCTCACCTGCCCCAAAAAAAGGCTCGTCTTAAGGCATTTAATACATGTATTCCCCACATATGTGTCTTCCTCCAATTCTACCTCCTTGCTTTCTTCTCCTTTTTCACTCACAGGTCTGGATCTCATATCCCACCATATATACATATCACTTTGTCCATTCTTTATCTATTAGTTCCACCTTTCCTCAACCCCTTTGTTTATGGGGTGAAGACCAAGCTGATTCGAGATCACCTAGTAAAAATGTTCTGTTCTAAAGACCAGGATTGACATTTCCTTGAAACTTGTTTCTATGGGTTTCATGGCTCACCTTGTGATCCTGGGAGTCCTGACGTGATCCAGTATGGTAAGCACTGGATTGCTAACTGCTAATTGAAAGATCAAGGGTTCAAATCTGCCATGTGCTCCTCAGAAACTATGTAGGGTTGCTATGAGAGTACTTAAAAACAGTTTGTGATCCTATGTGGTCTGGATATCCCACCAATATTGGAGAATGTAATGTGTGGATGATTTTAAGGACTTCTGGTGGATATTGACTGCTGAGGCAATCTGAGGAAGTTTCTGCTCCCTGGTCAATTTTAGTGACATGAATGATTCTAAGACTATTGTAAACAATATTTTTGTAATATTATTTTCAATCCTATTCCTGAGTAAGACATCACAACTGAGGGCAAGTAGTCCAGTAATTGCCAAAAATATGTGATAGCAAAATAATATTTAACTTTTTCATAGAAAATCCTTGAGAATGTATTCAATTCCATTTATTGAGAAAGAAAACATCGAAACAGCTGTTTTCAAAGCTTTATTTTTAAAATGATTTGTATAAGCTGTGCCTTGGAAAAAATATTGTCACAAATTCAGATTTCTCAACTCTAACCTATTTTTCTAAAGATAATTCACAAATGGATGCAACAGTACATTGAATAGGGATTTCTGGTAGCATAGTGGTTATGAGTTGGGCTATTAATCTCAAGGTAAGCAGTTCAAAACTACCAGGCATTCTGCAGGATAAAGATGTGACTTTCTGCTCTGGTAAAGATTTATAGCCTCAGAAAACCAGTGCCAGGTTGCTATGAGTCAGAATGGACTCCATGGCACACCACCACCACCACTGCCAGAGGTTCAAAAATAATTCAGATAAGGACATGGAATGAGGGATAGCATTACTCACATCAGCTAGATCTTGGCTGAAAGAAGAGAATACCAGAAAGTTCTTTGCTTGTGCTTTGTTGATGATACAAAGCTTTCCACTGTGTGGATCATGACAAGCTATGGACAACATTGCAGAGAATGCATGAATTGGAACACTTAATTGTGCTCATGAGAAACCTGTACGTAGACCAAGAGACAGCTGTTAAAATAGAAGAAGGGGACAGTGAATGGTTCAAAATTTAGATAGATGTGCACCAGGGTTTTTTTTCTTTCACCATAATTATTCAATCTGTATGATGAGCAAATAAACTGAGAAACTGCACTATATGAAGAAGAATTGGTATCAGGATTGGAGGAAGACTCATTAACAGCATGTGATATGCAAATGATACAACCTTACTTGCTGAAATCTACAAGGGCTTAAAATACTTACTGGTGAAGATCAAATATCACAGCCTTCAGTATGTGATGCACCTCAATGTAAAGAAAACACAAATTCTCGCCACTGAACCAATAAATAACATCATGATAAATGGAGAAAAGATTGAAGTTGCCCAAAACTTCATTTTGTTTGGATCAACCATCAACTTACATTGAAGCAGTATTCAAGATATCAAAGGACCTATTGCATTAGGCAAATCTGCTGCAAAATAACATCTTCAAAGTGCTCAAAAGCAAAGATGTCAGTTTGAGGACAAAAGTGCAGATGTCCCAAGCCATTGTATTTTAAATATACCCATATGCATGTGAAAGTTTGAAAATGAATAAGGAAGACCTTAGAAGAATTGATGCATTTGAATTATGGTGTTGGAGAAAAATATTTAAGATGGCTGTGCACTGCCAGAGGAACAAACACATCTGTGTTGGAGAAGTACAGTTGTAATGCTCCTTACTAGTCAAAATGGCCAAACTTCTCTCATACTTTGGAAATGTTTTCAAGAGGGACCAGTCCTTGGGGAAGGACATCATGCTTGGCAAAGTGGAGGAAAAAGAAAAAGAGGAAGACCCCCAACAAGCTTGATTGTCATAGTAGTGGGCTCAAGGATAGCAGCAATTATGAGACTGGCATTGGACTGGGCTATGTTCTGTTCCACTATAGATAAGGTTGTTATCAGTCGGAACCAACTTGATGGCAACTAACAATAACAACAGCATATTGAAAAAATTAACTAAGACACACGGTGGTGGGGGTGGTTGTGTGCCACCAAGTCAGTTCCAACTCATAGCAACCATATATATGGTTTCTAAGGCTGTAAATCTTTATAGGAGCAGAAAGCCTCATCCTTTCCTGCAGAACTGCTGATAGTTCCAAACTGCTGACCATGAGATTAGCAGTCTGATGTGTAACCATTTTTATGCTACCAGAGCTCCTTAAAATAAGCCACATTTGTTGTTGTTGTTATGTGCCGTGGAGTCGGTTCTGACTCATAGCGACCCTGCACAGGGTTTCCAATGCTGTTAATCTTTATGGGAGCAGAACACCTCATCTTTCTCCTGCGGAGCAGCTGGTAGTTTCGAACTGCTGACCTTGCGGTTCGCAGCCCAATTCGTAACCACTATGCTACCAGAGCTCCATAAAAATAAGCCACATAAGGAAGTAGAAATGATATTTTTCATCCTGTAATATCATTGTTAAATTTATGTAAGACTTTTACCCTGGGACTTCATAGCCTGGTGTGGCACTGTAGATAAGCACTGAACTGTGAACTGCATGGTCAGCAGTTCAAACCCACCAGTTGTTCCTTGGAAATTGTATACAGCATTGCTGTGAATCAGAACCAACTCAACAGCACTTAACATCATCATCATAGCCTATAAGAACTCAATATAGATGCACTATTGTCACGGGTCATTATCCTATTCATTGTTTTCATCATGAAAATCATCATTCCTATTGTCTTTGAGTACAGATATTCTATATCGTTTTAAATGTTATTTACCAATTCAGCATTTAAATGCATTTAAAATTAATTAAATTGAAACTTTTTATGACTCTATCGGCAAATTTTACAAAAGTCAGTGCTCAACTAAAAGAAATTTGAATTTTTTAGGTGAACTATACAATGCTATCTATATTTTTACTTATTTCCATATTAGTATATTTGTATGTGCATAGACACATTTGTTGCTTTTATGGTTTTATAATAAAGAACATATTGTTGTTAAATGTTGTTGAGTCAGTTCTGACTCATAGCTAACTTGTATAGGGTTTCCATGGGGCAACTGGTGAGTTTGAACCACCAACCTTATGATTTAAACCAACCTTATTGGTTTAATTGGTGGTCCAGTATTTTATCCTGCAGCCCCACACCAGGCATCCAATAAAGAATGTAGGAAAAGCAAATAAGCACATACTATAGATAGAAATGAGACGATAAGTCAAAAAGTATTGCTACCAAAATCACAGAAACTTTTATTAACAAAAAATATAGCGTAGTGGTTACGAATCGGGCTGCGAACCTTAGGGTCAGCGGTTCGAAACTACCAGCTGTTCCGCGGGAGAAAGATGAGGCTTTCTACTCCCGTAAAGATTTACACCCTCGGAAACCCTGTACAGGGTCCCTATGGGTCGGACCCGACTCGATGGCACTTAACAACAACATCAAATTGTGTAGTGATTGTTTCTTGACATATCCTTGACAAATACTTCCAAAGGCAGTATTTCCATCTTCCTACTCTTTCCCTGGACTTCCCTGGTATGGTGCTATAAGATTAGCCCTGGATTGTGAACCACAAGGTCAGCAGTTTAAACCCACCAGCTGCTCCTTGGAAACTCTATACAGGGTAGCTATAAGTCGACTCATAGCCACCAGCCACCAAGAGGCTGTGAGGTTGACACACACACACACACACACACACACATTTTTTACATATATATATCTGCTACTTGACACTGAGTTGATTCCTACTTTCGTACTTTTGGTGACCCCATGTAAGTAGAGAAGAACGGCTCTATAAGTTTGTCAATGTTGTGATCGTTTGAAAACAGTTAATTAGCTCTTTCTTCTGAGGTGAATCTAAGTGAATTTGAACTTCCAGTCTTTCAATCTGTAATCCAGTTTATCCATTTGTGCCACCCATCCATGTACATATACATAAACATACACACTTATAATTCCCATATTCATATATAAGCTATGTATATTTATTTACAAATTATGCAATAAGAAATAGCTTATCTTAAATGATAAATTATTAATTTAGTTATAAACTAGTTAAAATAAAATATTAACATGGGAATAGTATTTTGATTCTGACAACTCATAAATAAATTTATTCAAACTTTTTTAGTTTTTGTTAATACTGGTTTAACTTATTTCAGTCTAGTGGGTCTCCCAGGCAGTTTTTTACAATAAAAAATTAAGGGATAATTTTATGAGACTGCAAAGGTTTGGATATTAAATAAAACAAAATACTTATTCTTAGAAACATTTATAGAAAAAAAAATGCACTTATAAAAAATGTAAAGTTCCCAAGACCTGCTTTACTTTTCATAAAATGGGAACAATATTAGCTCCCTTGTATAATTCAGATAGTCATTGAGGCCTCAGAATCAAAATTATATTGTTAAATACAGATGTCAATGTATGTAATGGGGATAATTTATATTATAATCAGTAATCAACCTCAACACTGAGTATAAAGGTTCTCTACTACTCTAATCCTCATATGCACTTGAATAGGCCTAAAAAGGAGGTGCATTGCATGCTTCTTTATTATAATTGGACTTGGTTAATTAGCAATAATTTGTATATAGAATCTTTAGGAACATTGCTACAAGGGAAGAAATAGGAATATTGGGATATGCAGGCATTTTGGTATAAAATAATTTCTCTTTCAGGTAGTTGAACAGAAAGAAATCAAAGTAAGGAGCTCTGGTACCGTAGTGGTTACAAATCGGGCTGCTAATCTCAAGGTCAGCAGTTCGAAACTACCATCTGTTCCGTGGGAGACAGATGAGGCTTTGTGCTCTTGTAAAGATTTACAGCCTCAGAAACCATGTACAGGGTCACTATGAGTCAGAACCGACTCCTTGGCACAGAACAACAAAAACAAAAAAAGTAGTAACTAGACAAGGGAAGATCTGTTTAGATTAAGTTGCAGGGATGTGTGTGGGG